TAAGCTCCAGTGCTGTCCGCAGCTAACTGAGTTAACAGCTAACAGTGCTAACAGCTAACTGTGCTAACAGCTGACTGAGCTAACAGATAACTGAGCTAAGAGCTTAATGCGCTAACAGATAACTGAGTTAACATATAACTGCACTAACAGATTAGTGAGCTAACAGAACTAAGCTAACATCAAACTGAGCTAACAGAAAACTGAGCTCACAGCTACCTGTATCTACAGCTGACTGAGTTAACAGCTAACTCATCTAACAGCTAACTGAGCTAACAGCTACCTGTGCCTACAGCTGACTGAGCTAACAGCTAACTGATCTAGTAACTAACTGAGCTAACAGCTACCTGTACCTATACAGCTGACTGAGCTAACAGCTAACTGATCTAACAGCTAACTCAGCTAACAACTAACTGTACCTAAAGCACACTGAGCTAACAGCTAACTGAGATAACAGCTAACTGTACCTACAGCTGACTGAGCTAACAGCTAACTGAGCTAAGAGCTGACAAGCGAGCTATTACAGTTAGCGCTTAACTTTGCTATATCTGACAATAATATCGTATTTTAGCGACAACATTTTCTTTCCATCAGCGACACAGTTTCTGAGGTCATTAGAGAGGTAGAAAACAATTATCCAGTATCACTCAAGGGTCCATTCTTAAATTAACCGAAGACAGTCAGAATTTAGCATCAGACATTTGGAAAATCTGACACTTGGAGATATAAGCGCTTTGCCTAACACTAAAGATGTGTACATAATGTAAGTGATGAAATATATAACACTTAGACGTGTAACAACAACTTTATTCATGTAGCAGATGCTGATCCTGGGTCAGTGTTCAAGCTTAGACCAAACACACATTTATATTCTGGTCAATATAATGTGTGTTCGATGTAAATAACAATGCATCAGATGCCTTCATCTTAGTTTTTTGCCTCATATTGCCTGCTGTATCATGAGGCCTTCTTACTGTCTCTCATGCTGTTTAGAAAATGTCCAAATGTACTAACATCTGTACTTTATTTTTATGATGTGCCTCTTCCATATTGTGCATAGAAAAAAAACGGAAAGTTATACATATTTGCATTTCGTGTCTTGGAAAACCCCATATGAGAAAAATCTTTAAGAATCATATGTTGTAAAATACGCTTTATTTTGTGCATAATGGCCACGTAGATGTCATACAGAACAGCATTTAGCAAATACGTATGCTTTGCATTATTATTCAGACTATGTATTCGCATAATGTCATGTATAAGATACCAATATAATACTTACCCACCATTTACAGAATATCTGCAATAATTTTGTATGGGATTTGTGGCCATATTCAAGACAAAGTGTGTGTAGATTGTGCATATCTATCATTCTTATTGATCAGTTTCATATGGGAACATTTTCTGTCAGCGGCTTGTGAAAGAAAGTTGTTTTATTATTTCATAATCCTAAAGTTTAGGTATATAAAGGTTTGTTCATTTCTGCAGAGCGACTTCCTCTTATGTTTTTCGGTATGGTTGTTTCTGATAAACATTCGAGACATTGTCAGCACATGTTATTACTTAAAACGTTTTAAACCTTTCTCTATGAATGCATTATGGGTTTGACGTGTTTGGGTTTTGTAGATGTAGCCTACTCATGTCTTCCAACTGTTCAACTTATTGTAGCAGGAGGGCAGAGGAGTTTTATTTTTGTAAACAAATGCATTATAGTATTTCCTGCCTGCCTTCTTTTTTTATTTTGCACTTTGCATTTGGTTATGTTAAGGAGGAAATAGTCTATACTGTGTTTTTGTTAAGTAGCATTACATGCAGTTGTGTAGCTGATGGTGAGGTATCAACAGGTTTATCTTATTTGGTACAGAAAAATGAAATGTCTGTTTATAAAAGTGTCATTTCAATTCTTTTATTTGTCTTTTGTGGTACGGAAATGACACAGAGGTTCAACTTTTGTATCATTTTTAAAGAAATTGATCAATGTTTATCATCATCATGGTTTGTTTGCTGTAGTGAGTGCCTATTTTTAACCAAATGATTAAAATAAGTCCATGAAAAGTGAAGGATTGTAGAGTATAGCCTTTCCATGTGTAGTTATTTTACTTTATAGGTTTAATCGAGTCACACCGAATATAAAAATTGGGTGTGATTTTCATTTTGACTATAAAAGCACAATATATTGTTACAAATCATTTGCCTACCATTTGTCTTATGCTACATGTTTGCTCAGATTTAAATGGTAAAGATGATCCTTCATTGGTTCTGCCTTGTAAATAAAACTGAATAAACTGTTCCTCCCAACATCTGTTTTGTTTTGTCGTGCTCAATCTGTACACATCTTATTGTATATGCAGTCTATGGCACCTATCAGGGCCGTCCCTCCCTACAGGCCGATCATGCAGACTGCGTGGGGCCTCGCCTTGCGGAGGGGGCCTCATCCTGCGGAGGGGGCCTCAACTGAGCCGAAAATGCGGCGCGCCTATGTGCTTATGCGGCGCAATTAGTGTGGCGCGGCACGGTTTCGCCGCTGCGAGGCTCCACTAGTCCCCCCCCCCCGTCGACGCTCGCGAAACAGAGGGCCTCATCATATAACTTTGCATGGGGCCTCATGTTGGCCAGGGACGGCCCTGGCACCTATACAGGGAAATCTTCTAGAAAAATACAATATAAATATACATTTGAGCAGCAGAGGCTTGTGTGTTTTGTGTGTAAAAACTTGTGAAGAGCACTCCTGTTTGAGTTGTTGACCAGGATATTTTTTTACTTGATCTTTTTAATAGCAATATTGTAAAGTTGAATGTGTTTTGGGCTGTTACTGTACAAAACACATCTGAATGATGTTACTATTACAGTAAAACCCATCTAATCAAACTCAAATTCAACTTTAATGTCAATCTTCCAGTACAGACAGAGAGATCGAAATACTGTTTCCCACAATCCCGAATATAAACACAATGTAGCCTAGATAGAATATAAAATAAAAAAATAAAAATATGTGTGCAAATATGTTTGTATATACACACAGTCAAAGACACATTTGTACATGTGCACACATTAAGACCTAAATAAAAACAACAATCAATATATACAAAATAACACTCACTTCAATTTCTAACACATCATACAGAAATATGTTCATGCTTCCAATGCAAGCATATCTCCTGCACAGAACAAAATTAAGAAACCTGTTATCTTAATCTCGCTTTGCAAAAATCTTTTAATGGTTCTGATAATTAAAAAAAATGCGGTTCCCTTTGTCCGGATGTAAAGCTTCAGCGGGATGCCCTTCATGTCCATCTTTTCCTGGATTAAAGGGGGTGTCCTCCTTTGATGCAACTATTATAATCACATGAGTTACCTTTCACACACTTCTCCATTACAAAGTACACTGACACAGAGGGACCCTGGCTGTTGACCCCTGCCCCCAGATGGCTGTGACAGGATTCACATTGCACGTATGCAAACACACAAATAGAAATGAAAGTCACGAGCACTGTCAGCGGACAGAGAGACACTTTACAGAAGGTGATAAACCTTGAGGGACGTGAGGTTTAAAATGCACAGATAGGGAATGACTGTAACATATTAATTATAGATTATTATACATGTCATTTACGTGAATGCATCAATAATATTAGTACAGTGATATAATGATACTAGTGCCCTGATATAAGTCCCACCTGATGAATATAGATGTGATTTTGCTGCTTTACTTACACATGCTTTTCCTAACTATTTCATTAAATTAATATTTAATTTATTTCTTAATTCATCGCACTATTTATATATATGATTTCCAAATGTTTTTAATGTAAAATCACAAACCCTAATCCTATTGCATCCTGTAGCATCAAATCATACTTAAAGTAATGAAAGTAATTGTAGGCTTAATCATTTATCAGAAAGGCCCACGTCAGAATAATATAAACAATAATATTAGATTATAACCATTATAATATACACCTTTATGCTGGCCTAGCTGAATTTAATTAGTTTACTTTATATACTGCTGGGTTGTTCAACCTATAATAATACATCAGCATGTTTTATTTGTGTTTTTGTATCATTATTGTCTGTTTATTGTAGATGGAGTAAAAAGTACAATGTTTACCTATGAGATGTGGTGGAGTAGAGGTAGAAAATAGCAGAAAATGTAAAAGTACATTATAAAAGAACAGTACTTCCGTAAATGTACTTAATAACTGTCCACCATTGTGCATTTAACACCATCAATGGTAGTTTCCACAGTACGTGAGTTATGCTGTATCAAGTGGATTAAAGGGATCAACGGAATAGTACGATCTGCTGATAGAGTGATGGAGAGGAGCAGCTGCTGGGAAATATGTTAATATGGGAAAGTTCAAGGGCTGTGATTGGCTGGTGGCAGGAGATATGCGAGCTCTGATTGGCTGACGTGAAGGGGGCACGTAACACGACGTTAGATCACGAGTACGTCCCATGCCTGCGAGAAGTATGACGTTTTACGCAAGCTGGATATAAATTGCAGTGCCTCGCGCTCAGTTAATGGAGCAGTAGAGAGAAGCGATTTTCAGAGCTTTAAAAACTTACATTTACGCCTTTTTAAGCGTTTAATTTGTTGGGTTTTTATCCTTAACTTTAGTTTGAAAGTACACTTGAGTGTTTTTTCAGCTGACGTTGAGCAGGACTTCGGGAAAGACAAGAAAAAATGAAATACATTATAGGAATTGGCGGGTAAGTGTTTATATTTTTAACTATCAGCTGTTTTTTGCTTACATTTAGCTAGAAAATGTTATATCAATATTTGTATTGCAGCCTAATGCACTGACAGTTGAGTAGAGTAGTTAATATCAACCTGTTGACTAATATTATCTTGTGAAACGTGAGGTTCATGCAGATATTTTGAATTAGAAGTTTAAATATATAGCTGTTTATTTTCATTAATGGGGATTTATATTAGCTTCTGGTTGATAGAGATTGTAATTCACTATTTGACACATGTTTTATCAGCTGCCCGCCAGAAAGAGGTGCCGTTAAACTGGTTTAAAGCATGGGTGTGTAAAGGGAACTGGATGCACCGTCAATTCCTATGAGAGTTACTCAGAGGCGATTGAAGCTCAAAATAGAGCGACTGTAGATCCATAGTACCCGTATGTGGGCCCATTGAGCATGCGCAGTTGAGTTTTCCTTTAAGCCCAGCCTCCAACCTTCCGCTCTCTTCTCAGTTAAATGAAGAAGAAGAAGAAAAAATAACTCTGGTTACAGCTTTTAGTAAGTTTTACAACTTTCAGACTCTAATGGTTTAATTAAGGGCTATATAAGTGTTAGTACAGGCCGGGTAGTTTATCAAGCTGATTTACAGACGTTTCTTTTCCCCAATGTAAGCCAGTCAAAATGACGTCACGGGAGTTGTAGTACCACCGTTTATCCACTACGGTCATTCACAAAAATCTGCTTCAGCGGGAGTCCCTGGTTTGTTGGTTTGTTGTCATACATCGAGCGGGACATTTGAAAATTCACCGCCAGACCATAAACTGTGAAGCTAGAGACAGGCGAAAAGTGGAGGGAAATGTAACATGACTACTGCCCTAAACCAACAACAGTTTAATGTCATGTTTATCATTTATTTAAACCGTTTTACATAAGGACTTGACACTATTTCATTTCATGTTATATTATGAAAACAGTGCTTTTATTCAGCAGTAATTGTTTATTAAAGCAGGGCAAGTTTGAATTACACATGCATCTTTTAATACATTAAACTTTGTTTTTAAGCCAATGTGGCTTCTTTTCCTGTTTACAGATAAACTATTTAATGTATTTACTTACTTCTAAATGTAAACAAAGTGTGCCATGTGGCTCTAGGTGCAAACATTGCATGGGTGCTTTGAAGTATTTTGGTGTTTAAATCATAACTGTATCTTTCTGGCAACAAATTAGTATTCATTTTCTATTTTAAATTACTTTTTGTTTACAGAGTCAGTCGAAAATTGGAGGTAGATTTGACATTACTATTGCCCCGATCAAAAACTAATAATAATAATAATTTAAGCAAATGGGGCTTCTTGTCCTGTTTACAAATAAACTATTTATTTAATTTACTTGCTTATAAATGTAAACAAAGGGTGCCATGTGGCCGTAGGCGGAAAGCTTGCATGGCTGCTTCTTTACAGGAAAAGTAGTTAAGCTTTTAAACCATTACTGTAACTTTCTGTTCATCATATTATTATTAATTTGTGGTTTTAAATTGTTATTGCTTTTTTGTTTACAGGGTCACTAATGGTGGGAAAACCACCCTGACCAACGGGTTGATCAAGACGTTGCCCAACTGCTGTGTTGTGCACCAAGACGACTTTTTCAAGGTGAGTTTTAGCAAGAGGATAGTTTAGAGTTTTATTTGATGTTATTGTCGGCCTAGTTTTCCCTTTCATTAACTCTGCATGAGCATTGCTTTTATGTGAAGTTAAGGGTGCCGCCCAGCGACCTCTCCCACCCCCCACTTTGTCCCCCTCAGTAGAGATATGTTAATGTCTTTCAGGATAGCTTCTTTACTGCTTCAGTCACGATTACCTCTCTTGTGTCTTTTACATTTCTTCAGATTCCTGGAGTAGCTTTACAACATGTCTTGAGTCTTTTCTAACATGCATCCATATCTCCTCAATCAACCTTTTTGTTATATATTTTTTAGCATTTCTCTCTTCCCTAATTTAGTTTAAGCTGTGCTCTTTTGGTAGATGGCTTGTTTTATTTAGTGCATGCCCTTTGCTTGTGTTTCTGTGTGTGCACTTGTTTAGCCTTATTACTCTTAGCATTGTTCTTGTTGCTCGAGCATGTGAGTGGGATCTGAAGTGTTCAGAGCTGTGAGGTTGCAGCAATGTTTTATTGGTGACTGTTATTTCAGAAACCAGATCAGATAGAAGTCGGAGACGACGGCTTTAGACAATGGGATGGTAAGACTTCACCAAAGACTGCCTATGGGTCACTTTAATGTCATATAAACCCTCCAACATTACATACATTATTAAAGCCATTAGCACAACACCATTAAGCTGACAACATCCCCTAGTATCTTGGAGCAAAACACATTTACATATTTTCATGTCCTTGACTGTCTTATTAACTATCTATCTTTTCCATCGTCTGCCTTTTTCTATTGATCTCTCTCCACAGTGATCACAGCCATGGATATGGAGTCCATGACCAACACAATGAAAGCCTGGATGGAGAACCCGGTGAAGTTCGCTCGTTCTCACGGCGTCCCGCTGTCTTCTGCACCTGACGAGTCCAACCCGGACGAGCAGACACACATCCTGATCGTGGAG